TTCCGGTAAGCTACCTGCCGGCTACTATGCAGCAGGAAAAAAAGAATTTACTACGCAAAATTAAAAAAGTGCTATATAATGAGATCTTGGTTGGAAGGGGTGGGACAAAAAACTCAGCACGAACGCCACTGAGGTCGGCTCTTAGCCAAATCAACAAGTGTATTCAATCAAAGGTGTTCATCGTTTTTCGGACCCCAACCAGTGAGCCAAGATGCTCCAACTCGACCTACTATTGGAGTTTAATTCCTAACTGCGTGCGCATACTGAAACCAATGACTGACTTGCTCCGAGTAAGCACCGCAATTTTCACTTTCCAGACGATGTTCAACTGGCTTTAGAGAAGCTCTAGTAGCTCTTTATCGGACCCCATACACGTCGAGTGTGGTGTGCCGCAAGACTCAGTTTTAGGTCCAAGTTTGTTTTTGATGTTTATTAGGGGCCTTGCACAAGGAATCGCTTCAAACTTACTAATGTTTGCCGATACTATTAAGATCTGGTACAGGATCCATGCAAACGCCGACCAGCATCTGCATCAGAGTGGCCCCAATACGGTGTATCAATGCTCAAGCCAAAAATTACTGCATTTCATGGTCAGTAAATGCAGAGTACTTTCCATGCGACATCACTGCAGCTACTCATACCGGTTCGAGACGAATATACTGCAACAATCAGCTGTCAAACTTAACGGGTATCCTGGTTGAAGATGACTTAGGTTGCTCCAGGCAATCCGAAAGACCTCAAACACTGGAAAACAACACGTCGGGCTGTTGCGATGGGTGTTTTGACAAATAAACAGCTCCATCTTTCGGCAAATGTTCAGTGTGTATGTTCGCCCGAAATTCCAGCCTGGCATTCATGGCTGAAACACTACCTCAGTGCACTAGAGCAGCCCCAACGTCGGGCATCTAAGAACGTAATTGGGATGCACAACGTTTCGTACCAGGTGAGGCTGCAACGAATGGGGGTATTCAGTGGAAGCTATCGCAGACTACGAAACGATGAGACGAGATGCCAGACTTGATTCGCCAAGACACTCATCATGTGTGCCGCCCTTTAGTGCAACTCAGTACCAATACAAACCTGAGGGGCCACTCGTTGAAACTAGCTGTACAATATAGCCACCTGGAATGCCGCAGAAAATTTTTTCCATTCGTGTCCGTCGCCCGTGGAATGCTCTCCCAGAATCGGTCGTCTCTGCACCGGCACTAACAGTATTTAAAAGACGGTTGAATGATGCACTCACCCACTTACACTTTGCCACTAGCACTATGTCTCCATCCTACACCTAGAGTTTATCATGGAATTATTTGATATTAAATGCGGGTGCTGTGAATCTAAACGCATTGCAGGACTACGGCGGTGGAAACGATAAGTCCTTATTTTCATATTTGAAGTACCAACTGTTTTACTATCATTATTATCATTATTGTTATGTTGATATCCCCTGCAACTATCCAACGGGACTTATAAAGCAACGCTTCTTAACCTGTATAAATGAACTGTTCATGGCGCTTCTCGCCCACATAGATCCAACTGGACCACTTTCTCCGACAACTTCCGTATCAAACACCGACGTCGGCGCATTTCTTCAACAATTCACTGACCGAATCACGAGAAATGCTGGTCTTCACAACCCAAAACTTCCCATTTATTACAATGAATCAAGGGAGGCAGAATTTGAGTAAAGAATTCTTTTCGGTAATTCCCCTCAGACTCAAACATTACATGATGAGTAAGTGCTAAATATGCCGGAGTGGGTTGCGTATTGATCAGAATGTTTAATCCCAACAGGAACAAATCAATAAACCACGGGGTCGTTCAAGTTGGCAAAGTATGTACAGTATATTTGCAAAAGTCTGCTAACAGACATAATGCCATCAGAAACCATGGGATTCAAACGAAAGTACAGAAACAGTACAATAAAACACAACACAACAATGTCCATGGTTTCCTCAGAGGGCGAGATACTACCCGGTTGCCCAAGCCGAAGTAGGGTGTTGACTTAGGGGACACCACCCCGAGCCTTTGGCTGAATAGCCTGCCCGCAAGGCAGCGGAGCGAATTCAGGGAATCGCGCCCATTGGGAGCCGGTGACAGATTGCTCAGTTCATACGCCTTTCGTTTGTTCCTTTGTCAAACAGGGGCCCAATGCTCCCCAGAAGTACAGCATAAGGCTACTGGAATACAATGCTTCGCCAAGTTGAAGCAAGGGGCAGTGACTTTATTTAGTGGCGAGTCACGTCCGCCACGTCACAGTGTTGTTAAACGGACATATGTGGCTTTTTATAGGGAGAACGCTTGCCAGGCGAAAACCCACCACGTCCAAGAACACTGCCGCCGAACCATTTGCTGGAACGGGAAAATCCCGACCCACCCAGCTGGCACCACGAGGAGGTTGTTCGGCAAGCCAGCCAGGGGAAATCACAGCCGAATTTATAGGCCACGGTAGAAGTAAAGGACGTACAAACTGATTTTGCATACACAATTCTGGCTTGAGATGGCGGATATAGATAGTTCCCCGCAATATACAGGAGATGCTTCTGGAATACGCGCGAGAAACGCTCAGGAATAGTATGGATAACTCTGAAATCGTTTTCCGTCCCTGCGTGAGTGCACTCTAGAAGATAAGATGCAGCTTCGCCTTTGTAATACAACGTTGGGATGTGTTCGCGAATCCTATGAGATAGGCGCCTCGTGGTACGACCCACGTATCGTGCATCATAGGAGCACGAGTAAAGGTAAACAAGCATTGATCGAGTCACCGGAGGCAGCCTGTCTTTCAAAGGTTTTGCGAATAAAGGTTTGTTGTTAGATACTATGCGTAGGCGAGCAGCAAAATAGATGTTTTCAACAACGTCTTTCCGGCGTTGGGACAGGGCGTCAGCCGCACTATCTCCTTTGAAAAGAAGATGCACAATTAGTTCTTTCTTTGGAACGTTCATCCTCGGCGGTATTATCTTGCGTTCTTCCAAATGTTTGAGGATGAATTTAGCTGGATACCCATTCGCTCTTAGCGCGTCGCCGATCCTCTGCAGGTGGTTGCTTCTGTATGGTATGTAAGGGGCTAGGGTCAGCGGTGATGTACGTGGATGTTCCCTTTTAGTTGGTAGCCTGTACGCGAGAATGAGATGTCAGGAATGCCATACGTATTTCGAGGAGAACATACCGAGTACACGAAATGGTAGTTCGTAACTTAGACCGGATAGTCCACGCTTTGTCTTTGTGGCTCTATTTGCAGTTGCTCCAATAGGCGAATGTCTCGTTTTCACCATGGAGACCGCGCGTTTCTCGCGCGGATTCCGGAAGCATCTCCTGTATATTGCGGGAACTATTTATATCCGCCACTTCAAGCCAGCATTGTGTGTACAAAAACAGTTTGTACGTCCTTTACTTCTACCGTGGCCTATAAATTCGGCTGTGATTTCCCTGTACATACTTTGCCAACTTGAATGACCCCGTGGTTTATTGATTTGTTCCTTTTGGGATTAAACATTCTGATCAATACGCAGCCCACTCCGGCACATTTAGCACTTTCTCATCATGTAATGTTTGAGTCTGATGGGAATTACCGAAAAGAATTCTTTACTCAAATTCTGCCTCCCTTGATTCATTCTAATCAATGGGAGCACAGTGACCATCGTTGGATACCTCTATGTTTATTTTTGAATGGCGTAGGGAGCTAACCGGAATCTACCTGAGATCCGACACTTACATCACTATCTCGAAGCTCGACATTTTGCCGTATTTATTGACTACAAGCCGTTGAGCTATGCAATGCATAAAGCAACAGACAAGTAGTCTGTGGCGAAATTAGACAGTAAGACTAGGTCTGTCAGTTTACGACAGTCGTACGACATGTCTCAGGTGCTCCTGACGCCGTCGCGGACGACTTTCCCCAATCCACCGGACTAGCTTAGCTCCGGGAACCAACAGCGATCTAGCCGCCATGGCTGCGGACCATCAAGTTGATCCTGAGAGAGATAAGCTTCAGCACAGCACATCTGACTCTCCGGTGCAACAAACACCCCGGAGTGCTCCGTCATTTGTGCACAACTCTACATTTACGCTGCATTTTTCCATTTTGCTTTCCATGTACATGTCGTCGGTTGCTTGCACCTCGGTTAACCATTGGTTGGACATTTCGCCATATCCCCGCACCTTAACGAGTCAAAGCGAAATCCGTCCAGCCAGGTACCCGAAAGTTTATGGACTGTATCCCGCCACAAACATTTTCCCTTTCGACACCATAAGGAGACATGAGTGGGAGCCCACTAGGATACAGTTGTGCTAAGATTCCTCAAGCTGCCGCATCAGGTTTCACTACCTGATCTCTCAGAAAACTGACTGACGACGGAGAGTCCTCACGTAGATCGAAGGACTGCTTACACAGTCCCTTCTGGGGGAAAGATTTGTAGCAGTCTGGAGATTCCACTAGTTTACCTGTGTAAACATCTCAAATTATTATTTCATCGAACACCTAGACGACCAGTACTGATCGTCGTACCGGTTGTTGCGTATGACTGCTGGAGTCGAGCACCGCCCTTGCTTGCCGCTCATTTCAGTTGCAACGTTCAATTATCCTGTGCGTAGTGCCCTTTTTCGTTCCCCCAGATAGCAGCGTCAGCCATGTCGTTTTTTATAGCCAGGACAACGAAGAGCCTTTGACTGTACAAAATAAAACTCGCGCTGCAACTTGATCTGCCTTTTGGAATCGCTATCTGGGACCATGCTAAAGCAGTTCATTACCACTAATGGTAGTCAGCATGCTTTTAGAACTCTCCAAATCAAATTCACGTTCACCACCTACAGCATGTTTCCAAACCACTTTGTATCTCCTCTGGTACGTGAAACGGTTACCCTACCGGATTAACCGCTGATCATCTCGTACCCCTAGTCAAAGGATGAAATACATGAGTTGAATAGCTACTGCTTCAGTTCGTTAGCTATGCTTATCACAGCAGATCGCAAGTCGATGGGCGGGGGTGTGAACAACACAGAATCCTGGAAGTAAAAGAAATCTGCAATATGACGCTATCGGCATGAAAGACTACATGTATTGGGTGGGATAAATTACAAAGCCAGGGGAAACATTCAGGCCCAAATATATCTGTTGGAAAAATGGTGCAATACCACAGAATTTCACTGTTTCAGTCGTGTTGGTTTTTTGGATCACAATTCGTTCATGAATTTAACCTCACCGGGATTTTGTTGAATGCTGCCTCTTTTTCATTTTCTTGCTTTTGTATCTCCCGTTCCCTCTGTGTGGCTTTCTGTCCTGGGGGCCGAATCAGACCAAGTTTCCGACCAAGCCGCTTCATCTTCATTGTGACCTCTTCTTCCATCAATTTGAAACACATGGCGAACACAGACAACCCAACAGCCATGTATACCGCCAGGATTATCATCTTCTCTTTCGGATTCTGGGAGTCCACCTTAGTCCCTGGTCAAATGTGTAAGAGATAGGGAGGAGTATAAGACAGAGTAACTGACACGAATTGTTCCATTACACACCACTAATTGCTGTTCGTTCAAATAAAAGGTTATATGTTTAAGGAAATTTCACTGACAAACGGCGTCACTTGTCAGCACAAACGGTGGAAACCCGTCTATTTTTTGACGCTAGACACTACTGAAACCAACTTTGCAATTTTGATTTCCTACTCTTTTGAAGCCTAGAACTCGACTATTATGAGACTTCGCTGCGCGCAAAGCGCTTTGCAGAAGAGGGAGCTGGTAGCTAAAGAACGGTTACTGATTTGTATACCGAAATACCGTGGCTAAAAACACATCTCATATATGTACTTCAAACATGATCGATGTACACAAAATACCTGGTACTGTTGTCAAATGGTGCAAAGATGTGTAACGGTTGTTTGTGCTTATGGATGAGCTCTTGATGTTTCGCGCCTCACGTGATCATAGGTTGTAAGCAAGCATCAGTTAATCCAGCCACAGATTAATAATATTTCTTCAGTATCTCACATCTCCTGCACCTTATCGCGACTAACCCCAAACCACAAGGTACTGTCCTCAAAAACTTCAGGGGAGTTATTCTTATAACCCCGGTGTGGCAACTCCTTCTGCCATGCCTATATGAAGTCCAGGCAATCAGAGAAATAATTGAACCGAATTGGTGGTTCATAGTTGATATCTAGTGCATTAACCAACATGCGTCATCAGACGAGCTGAGTGTGCGCTTAGGCTTCGGGTTTACATTCGGACACTTCATCTCAAGTCTAACACAGTATCGTCTGTGAGTACTAGCAAGTTTGCAAACATGTAGTCAATTTATTTGAATGAAGTACTAGTGGTGGGAAAGAGCGACACGTAAACGGTCGACTACAGTGTAACATCTCACTTGGTCTCTGAAACCATTAATTTCATAACATTTAACTTTCATGATTCAAATAACCTAAGCTAGCAAGTCCGATTCCTTTTATGTCAAGTCATATGAGGAAGAACTACAGTCAGTTCCATTAGAGGATGTTTTAATCGTCATTCCAGCCACCTGTTTACAAAGCACTGACCTTCCAGTCCGATCAAGTCTGGAAGGCAGTGACCATCCCAGCTAAATGGAGTACATCAGCTATAGTGGCGGTATTCAAGCAAAACCGTCGCGTCGACTGTGCCAACCACAATACTATTGGCCTAAAGCAGGCGGTGACAAAATTACTGGCCTCAATCCTTGTTCGTCACCTCACTGGGGAGCGAGAATCACGGATTAAGGCAGAGCACGAAGACTTCCTCCCAGGACAAGACTGTATAGACCATATATTCACTCTACGGCAGTTTCTAGAGCATCGCCGCTCGTACCGCAGACCGACAATATCACAGTTGATAGACTTTAAGTGTGCTTTTGATTCCTTCCATTGATCAATTTTGTTCCAAATATCTTCGCGTGAAGGTGTTCCCATGAAATAAGTGATCGTATTCCGTGCTCTATACTTGAACATCATAGACGGCTTCAGGGTGTACGGCGATTTGTCGGATGCCCTTCCGACAACAAGTGGCGCTCGTTAGGTTTGTCTAATTTCCTCATTTTTTCAACCGCCCTGGACTCCGTCATGGAGTGTTCCCTTGTGGAGCCTTACAATGCAGGCGTCGTGGGCCTGCCTGGTGAATAGCTAGTTGATCTTAATTATGCGGACCACATTATCTTGCTTCGTAACGTTGTTGGAGCGGCGCAAACAAGCGAAACTTTCTAGCAGGTAACCAGCGCGATTATTCTCCTCGTTTCTATGATTCCACCGTCGGGTTTAGAAAACAGCACATTCACTTCGGAAGCTGTGTTGAAGAAGTTGTTATCCTTACGTATCCACAGTTCTTCTGGAGTCGGCAACATCCCACCAACGGCTCTGCATGACGCAGCTACTGCACTAACAGAACCGCTGGCTGTTTTCTATCAGCGATATCTGGAAGAGAACTATATTTCACCAGTATGGTAGCGAGGGATCATCACTCCTATCCATAAAGGAGGTTGCCGCATTGACCCTACCAACTACCGTCCAATACCACTACTTCCTGTACTATCCAATATAATCGAATGAATCATCACAGATGCGCTGATGCATTACCTAGAAAACCACACATTAATAGCCCCAGAGCAATATGACTTACATCAAAAGCGTTCGTGTAATACTAACCTTTCATTTACACGTTATAGCTAGACTCAAGCTGTTGATGATGTAGCAGGAGTCGATGTCATCTACCTGGACTTCTCAAGAGCTTTTGATCCCTTAGACCATCGAATTCTCTTTCAGAAGCTTTGGAACTACGGCACTGGCGACCCAATCCTGAGTTGCAGTGGCAATTTTCTACATGAACGACGGCTAGAAGTGAGAATCCGAGAATCATTGTCCAATGCAATCGAGGTGATGTGTGGTGTGCAACAAAGCTCGGTGCTTGGACCTCGTTTATTCTAGGTATTCATTAACGATTTGGCGAGATCAGTTGCTTCCGATTTCTTAATTTTCGCTGATGATTTCAAGACATGGCTAAGGATCAGGGGACCGGACGACCACGAACAGCTTCAGTGCGATATTAGCACATTGTCTAACTGGTCAGTTCTGAACGCCATACCGTTCAACGTAGACAAATGTCGCGTTGTACAATTACGCCCCAGAGATCACTACGCATCCTTGGTTGGGACAAACGGATTGCACACCAGCTCCCAGGAACGTGATTTTGATGTGATCGTACAGAGCGACCTCAACTATTTAAAACTTGCTGAGGTAGCTGCCAAAATGGGCACCAGCACGTCGGCATGCTGCGAAGGTTGTTCGGGAGATTTGACCCACCAATCTTCCCAATTCCTACGTGCGCCCGCATGTTGAATACGCTATCCAAGCTTGGTAACCTAGGTTGAAGTGCGACCTAAAAGCGATAGAGGCACGACAACGAAGCGCAACAAAGTATGTAAAGAGCCTGTGCTATCACTCTTACCACCGAAAGCTGGAGTTGCTTGGAATTTTCTGCGGACGCTATCGAAGACTGCGCGGCGATCTCATATTAGCGTATCAGATGTTGAGTGACCCCAACCACATATGCCGCCATTTGCTGAAACTTTAAGTAAGTAAGTTTTAAGTGTCTTCCAAGAATTTGAAACCATTTACGGACCCCGTGTTCGAAAACTGTCAAGTGAACTCGTTGGATTGGCGGACCTTGAAGCGAACTGGGAGAATCATCGCGTTTTTAACGTGAGAGGTCTTAAGACTAACCTGATCCCCAAATGTCTCACAGTGAAACCTCCGAACAGTATGTACACCTCTGCAACGAATGCATTTAATGCTTCCAAGACCTTTCTGAAATAGCCGATTTACCTAGTGTCCAAACGTTTAAGTGAGATCCGCATCGACGCGAGTCGGCTGAGCCTGCATCTACAGACCGCCATAAAGCCTCTCGACTACAACCGAATTTTCAATAAGGCTTCAGACGTCAAATAGAAACAAGGGCAGAAGGCAAATAAAAGACAAATGGGTAAGTTGGTGCGTCTAATGTCTGTGCATCCTAATGCTACCGGTTCTACTGACATTTCCGGGTTTATTAGTACCTATTGTAATGTAATTAATATGTCAGATAGTGTTTGTATGAAACGGAATGTAGATTGTTGGAGAAAGGTTTGACCTTTACCTTCAATAAATCTAAGATATATGCGGAAGAGATTATCCCAAGCATTGAGAGCGCGGTGACAAAGTTGCCCGCTACGAAGGCAGAGAATATTCAGGCACAGTTAGTAAATATCTTTAAGTTTCAGCAACCGGGTGAGCCAAATCTTCCGCAAACGGAACGTATCGCATTAAATTCCCTAAAGGAAGATCGCAGCATTGTACTTCCAAAGGCTGACAAGGGAAAAACGCTGGTTGCAATGAATAAGTCAGAATACTTGGAAAAAATATGACAACATTTGGTGACGGGTCCGTATAGAGTAGTTGTTGTTAAGACCGTGGCGTCAGTAATGAACGAGAGTAAAACGGAGGTTGGTAACTATTTAAGAACTGTGAAGGACGATTAAGGGGCAGGCAAGTGGTACACCCTATACCCAAAATCGACTTTACCTCTCAGGGTTTATGGCTTGCCAAAAGTTCACAAACCCGAAGTTCCCGTACGGCCCATAATCGACGGTATAGGCTCCCAGATCCATGAAGGTGTGAGATATATCTCAAGGCTATTGCAGCCTCTAACAGGGCGAACGAGTACATTCGTGAGATGCTCTTATGATTTCGCTCAAAAGATAGCAAGTCTCAAAATGGAGTCAGATGAGTTGATAGTCAGCTTCGATGTCAAATCACTTTTCACAAATGTACCCAAAGAAGAGGCGCTATCAACAGCGAGACGTCGACTAAATGAAGATGTCACTCTGAATGATCGAACGAAACTAACAGTTAGCCAGATAACCGAGGGCATGACAGTGTGTCTTAACATGCCTTACTTCGTTCTTCAGTCGAAGCTTTACAGTCAGGATCAAGGTATCGCCATGGGATCGCCAATATTCCCTGTACTGGCGAACCGGCATAAATGGAAGACTTCGGGAACCGAGCGTTGACAAACAACGTTAACTCACCAAAGGTTTAGTGGCGTTATCTAGACGACACCCTTGTACTTGTTAAACGGGATAAGAAGGACTAGTTGCTTGATCACTTAAACTCCGTTGATAAGAGAATACATTTTACTATTGAGTTGGAATCTTGTAGCGGCACAATACCACTTCTTAACTGCCTTGTTCACAAGAATGGGGGAAATTTAAAGACGACGATATTTCACAAGCCAACAGATACTGACGGCGTACTCCGCTACACTTCGGGTCATCCGAAACAGGTTTACGCTGGGATAGCCTCAGCGCTGTTCTACAGGGCACAAACCTTGTGCACGATGGAGGAGGACAAAAGGGTTGCGCAGAAAATGGCAATGAGCAAACTATTAGAAAGTGGTTACCCACGGCGG